ATAATTATGTATTCGTAGTTTTAAATTAAATATGTCAACATTTCTACAATTTAATCTTGATTTGACTCTCACTTTGCCCTTTTTATTGTTTATGATTATTGTTTGTATAGAGTCCTTGTTATTTTTTCAATTTAATGTTTATAATGTTTATAATATTTAGGTATCTCATTTCTTCAGAGAGAGAGAGAGAGAGAGAGAGAGAGAGAGAGAGAGAGAGAGAGTATCAAAAGATTTTCCAAGAAACAGTTATTTTGGATCAAAATTTATATAAATGAGAACTACTTGATTTATAAAATATCATTGTTTTTTTATTCATATCATGATCAAGTGTATAAGCAATTCTTAATACATCAATTTTCTACTTAATATTAATAGTAATATTAACATTATGTATATCATTGCAAGTTTCACATCGTTATCATTTATTAATAACATTAATTAATAATTTTATGACATTTATTCATTTTCTCTCGCAAAACACATTCCTCTAAATGGGGGAGGAAAGAAAATCCTTTATATCCTATATTTTTCCGTAGCTCGAGCCCAATTGCAAGTTTTTGCTAGACCCAAATACAAGTTCTTACTAGACCAAATAACTGCACGGTTCTAGTTACGCCTGCGGAAAATTGAAAGAAATAAAATATTATTTTATTTCTTTCAATAATTCAGTAGAAAAAAAATTAATATTTATCTGCGTACTCTCTCTCTCTCTCTTTCGTCGCTTTCGTTCTCAAATAAAGCGAAACCTCTCGAGACAAATCGATAGAGCGATACAACTTCGTATTTATAATAGAGAACTTAATGTCCTCTCGTTAAATATTCTTTTATAACGATGGGGAATCGTATGTGACAGAGAATGATTTATAATAAATTGTCGAACATATATGCGCGCCGCGGGTTGCGACCTACCGCAACGTGCTTCGGTCCGTAGACACGAACGGAAGAAAAGGGAGTAGCGGGTCGTAATGGGGTATAATTGTCGCGAGCAATGCGAGGACAGTGCGTCATTACCGCATTTTTCATCGTCTTTCTTGTTGGCCGACAGCAGAGATGCGCTTTGCACCGGTGTTCACCGGCTTTGCGTGCCATACTTTTTTCAACGCGGCCGCGGGTTCTTAGGAATTTCGATGGAACGCCGTCATTGAGGTAGGCCCTCGCGGTATCGGCGATATGTAGACGACACCGGGGAAAGTATAAAGAAAGGTAAAATGGCATCGAAGATCCATCATCTGCCGAATGTTCCACGGAGATGAACTTTTCTTACTGATAGCGATAATTGTGGCAAAAAGGGCATAAACTTAATACATTTAATTCGTTTTCTTTTTAGGGAATTACGCAGATTAAGGGAATATTTGTTACATAATGAATTGACAAATACATAAAAAAAAAAATTATGTTTACTAGAAATAGGATGAGAACAATAGTTTTCCGCCATACGGCATATCGACGTGTTTCTGCGAAAAACAATTAAAATCGTGACGCCGTAGTTCCTGGATTAGGTAAATGCGAGAGTAAGTTTTGAACGGCAAGATCGCAGGTGGACTTTTTAATTTCTTTCTACTCGCGAGAATAAGAACTTGTTTGAAAGTATACCTCCTGTATCATCGTATTCTTTTCTCCGCTGACAAATTTGACCGATCGTGGAACTTTAATCGCATAGCAATTAAATGCCTGAGAGAAAAAAAAAAGAAGACGGAGTAATTAAAGAAATAAGAGAAAGTAAATGATGTCTTCAAACGACGAGTAAGGAGATACGTTCGTGGATAGCCGAGATTATTTACGTGGATTACTGCAAGCTTTGCGGAGAGATAAAAATACTTGCAATCGAACGGCTGCTTCTCGAGATACAGTCTTTTTCGTATATGGGCGAAAAATATACTGCAAGTACACGTGTCTCTCCTAACATCATAAGCGACCATTAATTGGACGCTTTCCGCCAGGATTATCGCCCTTTCGAAATTTCTTCTTCTTTTCCTTCCACGCTGAAAGTAAAGTGTAAAAATATGCTTTTATTGATAGTTGTGTATTACGCAGCTAGAGTTACAAAAAAAAAAAGGGAATCAATACAACGTGCTTTTATAATAAACGCCATTGCAACAATAATACACACGAAAAAGTTCATATAACTTGATTTCCCGTTAATTTTTAATTCCGTGTGTCGTATTCGGTAAAAACGGTTTTACCGAAATATTTACAAATTCAACTGTACAGATGTATACAGATCTAAAAATAGTTTTGTTGAATCATCAAAATACTTACGTGGAACACTCAAGTGTTAATGACAATTCTGCAAAAGTAACATTCTAGCAACCAGCTTAGGCTGATCTATAACATATAATTATTTTGACGGTCCTAACAAAATTACCTTCAGATTTGTATCTAACTAAATTTTTCGATGCTTCATCAAAACCATTCTTTCCGTATAGGTGATTGCGTGACTTATTTTATATTAAAATGTAATTTTAAATTTGCAATTGATTCCATAAACTAGAAAATTATTAACACGTAGCGTATTCATGTTAAAAATTACGGCAGTGTGTTCACCGTTTGACCGACACGGTTTTGCGTCGTCACTTTGGGGCGCAAACTTCCCTGCGGCAAATTGCTCTCTCATCGCAACGCAGAGAGCCGCTCATTAATATGCGTTAAGTGATCGAGACGTCTCCCTACGCCCCGTCCCACTTCTCGTTTTCTCTACATATCGCTCTTTTTCCGTCTGCATTTCTGTCTCCCTTCATTTGTACGGCGCGTCCGTCGGCTGCATCATGCGTTCATGCACATTAAAATTAAATTCGTTAGCGCCTGTGAATGGGTACGATACCTTCGGTTTTCGGTCGCGCGCCTGCTCGTCCCGTTCAACCAGCGATATAAATCAAAGAGCTGAGGTTGTGTAAAAAAAAAAAAAACCTCGACTCTTCGATACTCGAAGACAATATCGTTATCGATTGCAAAACGCTATATTAATGATACTTCGACCTTATAAATGTTCAAAACACGATAAACATTATCAAATAACAATGATAATAAAGTCAATCGACAAAAGAAAACAATCTTTTATTCCGTAATTTTCTTATTAACGGATAACAGTTGATTTCAGAGAAGAGAAAGAAATTCCGAAATAATGTATATATATGCATAAAAAAGAACTGATAAAATTTACAATTATTATTAAATGTAGAACGCTGTGTATATCTTATGGAAATCGATTTGACTTCAAATCAACCCTGTATACTTAGCAGTGCCCGTTCCATGCATGCTCGATTTTTGAAACCCCTTCGAAACGGCGATGAGGGAAGGAAGGAGGAAGGGGGTGGGGGATGGGGAGGGGAGGAGGGGGCATGAATTAAACGCAGGCAACACGTATATGCGGTGGCCTCCCGTCGTTAATACATCCTTCAAATGCGTACGCAACTGTCGATGGTTTGTCGTCGTACCGCTGCACTGTGATCCGAGGCCCCTCATCAAGGGTCGTAACTCGTAACTCGCGTAATAATGCGACGACGAATTCGCGGGGACGTACAATAATTCGACGTGCGGTGATCTTGAAACTGCCGGATGATCATAAGACGGCCCCGATCGGAATCTACCATTTAGGCGCTTACTATCGACGAGTGAAGTCCCCGAGGGTGGGAAACAGACAGGGTCGATGAGCCGGAAGCTTAATGATAATTTCACGCAGGTATCTCGCGGTTTGCTCACGTCAAATCGTGATTACCGCCGGATCATTGAGCAGCGTCGTCGATTTTTCCTTTTTTTTTTTGAGATTCTGACAATTCTGTTAATGATGCCCCTACACAAGTTAATCTTCATTGCGAAAAGAGGGGGTCTAATCCGGTGGCACTTGCTCGTTGCTACGAATCTTCGATGGAGCCTAATGTAACCGTTTCCGCAATTTACTTATAGAAATATTAAAATAAATTGCCGTTGAGAGCCAACACTGGATGAAAGTGTGTAATAAACTTTATTTAATTACATAAAATTGCATACGTTTCGACCTTAGTCCAGGTCCTTTTCAATGCATGAATTACACTAATATTAAAAAATTCTTTGATGGAGTAAATGATGTCAAAAACAATTACACTGGACTAAAGTCGAAACGTATGCAATTTTATGTAATTAAATATAGTTTATTACACACTTTCATCCAGTGTTGCTTCTCAACGGCAATTTATTTTAATATTTGATTTACTCATAGGAGCCTTTTGTATATATATTGTTATTAATTTTTACCTACAGAACTTATTATTGTATATACAATGGACTAAAATTGCTACGAATCTTCGATGGAGCCTAATGTAACCGTTTCCGCAATTTACTTATAGAAATATTAAAATAAATTGCCGTTGAGAGCCAACACTGGATGAAAGTGTGTAATAAACTTTATTTAATTACATAAAATTGCATACGTTTCGACCTTAGTCCAGGTCCTTTTCAATGCATGAATTACACTAATATTAAAAAATTCTTTGATGGAGTAAATGATGTCAAAAACAATTACACTGGACTAAGGTCGAAACGTATGCAATTTTATGTAATTAAATAAAGTTTATTACACACTTTCATCCAGTGTTGCTTCTCAACGGCAATTTATTTTAATATTTGATTTACTCATAGGAGCCTTTTGTATATATATTGTTATTAATTTTTACCTACAGAACTTATTATTGTATATACAATGGACTAAAATGGCGAAATTATTGCGATTAAAAAATAACAAAGAAAAATATGTAAATTGTTCTGATTATTCGATGAAGACAGTCACTATATATATATATATATATGCCAATTTTATTTAAGAAACTAAAATATTTTAGTATTTAATTAGTTAGTTATATTGGAGTGGCACTTTAATAGCATAGAATAAAAACTATCACAGAATTCCAGAAATTATCGATCACAGAATTCCATGATGTGATCGATAATTTAATTATAATGTATATAATATGTGCATCATTAAAGCGAGAAATTTAAAGTGACCATTTTTGTTCTCAGGGTTAAGCATGAGTATATTGGTTATAGTTCTACTAGCAGCAGTAGCAGCGCTGTCAAGTGCTCTGACAATAAATTCCACAAATAAAATGGATATGAAATGGGTTAGTCCTTGTAATGTCTCTCGAACAAACGGTTCCAATCCGGACACTGCTTATTGTCAGTTGGAGGACCATGCTGATCTCCTCAACAAAACAGTAATCCAAGCGAGAATAGCATTAAATCATGCAGAACTATTTAGAGATGATTTTGTAAGTAATAGAGTATATATATATATATATATATGTGTGTATGTTTCTCTTTTTATCATACATTGTTGTCTTCTTTGAGAGTTTTGACTGCGTATTTCTTTTTCGTGCGTATTATGGTATTATGGTAATTCACGTAGATACGAAATTGATACGATATTTTTTTGTTGAAAAATTATGTTTATGAATTCTTTAATAATTACTTATATGACCTCTGAGAAGGGATCGAGTAGAGTGACGGAACTCCGAGCAGAAGGAGGTTATGGTAGTATTTCCGGTCATCCAAACGTTCGATCGCAGTTCCATATATAAGTTATGATCATTTGAAAGAAATTTTATAAATCGTGTCGCATCTTTATATTAATTGCAAATGTCTCATTAAGAATTTCATTTTTATCTTTTGTAAAAGTGTAATATGTATAATAATGAACACATAATAGTTTACTTTAAATTTGCAAAATAGAGTTTTGTGAATTTTATTTCAGTACAGTTCGCTTTTCAAATTACAATAAATCTGTATCAAATCTTCTAAATTTACGTTAAATTGAAAAATATTTACTTATATTATATTTTACTCAATAGTTGGATAATTGTTTATTTCTTATTCTGAATTATCCATTCGACTATTATACATCTTAAATTTGCGATTGTGTCTTGAATTCTAGAAATAATAATAATCGATTTTATAAGGCAGATAGATACATACGACAGCGAGAAATTTTTGTTTCGAAAGAATCTTTCCAACCAATCGTACCTTATTATCTTTGACCAAGGACAATAAATTACGCACCAGACCCGAGCGGTTTCTCAAGATTTTTCTTTAGGAGCAATCCAAAAAAGAGATCGACTCGAAAACCGCAGAAACAGAGGTGATGTTTCGCATTCTAAATTTCATTCGTTTTTCAAGAAAGATCGTCTGCTATTTTTACGTATAATCCGCACTTAAAACGCACTTGTTGACTTTGCCCTTTTTAATTATATAAATATATGAAAATTTATATTTTTTTAATATAAAAAAGATTTAGACTTCTAAAGAGGCAGACACGAGAAAGCGCCAGTCATTAATTCCTAAACGATTGCGTTTCGTCAAATAATGGTACTCAGAAATAAACGCTCGTGATTGATCGCCGAACAACATCAGTTAAGACCAGACAAAGACCGTCCTCCGCTCGCGCGAACGGTGTTTACCTAGGCAAAGCGAGTATATGACCGAGTAAATTAGCATTCGTCGCGTGCATCGAGAAAGGGTATTTCTGCCTCTTCGCATTAGAGGGTCCGTTTCGCCCTAGGGCTCTGGCTGAAGGCGGTTAAAAAGCGTTCCCGTTACATCATCGCGCGCGGCGATACCGATGTTTTTTAAGTCAGCGTATAATCCGATATCACACCGGCCGTATAGCTCGCTCCTACCCTTGGACAAGAAAGACAATAAATCGCGCACGTGTAAATACCTCGCCACTTGCGACATACAAAAGATGGCATGGAAGCGGAGTGAAGTCATAGTTGGACATGATGATGACAGGGAAGAATCAAGTTTCTCCTCTCCTCGCCGTTCGGCTCGCGGCGAGGCTACGAGCTCCAGGGGCGCCTTTCTCCACTGATATCAACTTGCGGCGACACACTGTCTGATGGCCCAGTGACACTCGTTATCGGTTCAGCGTAGGTCGTCTACCGGCAGCCAGAGAAAGGAGTAGATTAGCCAAGGATACCGAGAACAGCGGAAGTCTCACGGCCGATGTATCTTTCGCGTGCGTGGCGCGAACGCGAAGGAAATCCGCGGCAAACCTCGCAATCTTTTGCAACTGGCAAAACTATTCCTCTAAGAAGGTTTCCGGGATAATTGAAAATCTTTATAAAGTACAATCGTCAGCTCGACATCTATCTGTTGCATCTTTCTACTGTCAGTCTTTAAGTTTTTATTGTTCTCCCATGACGTACAATGACGGTTCATCATCTTACTATACCGTCTGAATAATTTATAAATCGAATTCATCCATCTGCAATTCGCAATTCGCAAAACAGCGATGGATAATCTATGTTTTCGCGCGTATGCAGACGCCAGTACGTGAAGGAATCGGATAAAATATCGGAAGCGGAGGATTCCAATAAATCAGAATCGGAAGCTGCCCTCCACCGCGGATAGGTACCTGTACGCCACACTGGCACACCGCCTGCATACTAAAGCCTAAACCGGATATACAACCTGCCAGTGCATGTACTCGCCTCGATACATATCTCCTATCATGGTATACTGCTGTGTTCCAATGTCCACCCTCGTCGTTCCTATGGGCGATATATTTTTTAAACGTGCTCGTGATTGTTTAATATATCAATAATCAATAACATTAAACAGAGCGAGTAAGAGTCGAATTACAATTAAAATTCTAAATTTCTCTGATAATTTATTCTAATATAAATAAAAGAGTCCTTGAATTTTTCAAATTATTTGTATATCTTATAAAGTCCATAAAAAGCAAAATAAGAACGGATCGCGATGAATATTATCACAAAGATTAAAATTAACTTGACATAAAGTGTTTCTATATCAGGAGAAGTCTAACAAATTGCTCGATCAACGCTTGCAATTATAGTTTATCAACAGCATTAGAAATTACCGACTCAAGAGACTTATTTTCATAGGACGCTTTCGATATATCGCGAACTATATTCGATCGACTCTCGAAGCTATCACGAAATTTTATAACTTCTAATAAGCGGTGCAGTAGTGATGCCGCGCTAGAAGAAAGACTGAAAGGCTAATTGATTTTGACGGGTCCTCGGGGTTATGATTTTTTACAATTAAAAAATTTTTTAATTGGAAAAAATAATCATTTTTTCGAAATAGTTTCAGAAATTTGGAAAAATCGTACGGTAATGTTGTAGAGAATCTTTTTTTCAAAAAAATAAGCAGTCATACGTTAAAATCCATTCATTTTTAAAAAATTCTTAACAGGCGATAAGAAGAAAATTTAAGTCACTAAGAAAAATTGTTTAGCAAATTATTTTTGCATGTTTCAATTTTTTTTTCAAGTACAATATGCTTTCTCTCTTCAATAATATCATTAATAATGGAAATTAATTTCTTGGAACCGTTATTAAATATTTTTTCCCAGCATACGGCGCGGCATCCCGGGGTCTAACCACCTTAATCTATTCCCGTGCGCAACGAATGTGAGAGATATGCAGAACGATGCAGCAACAACGCGACACCCACGCGGAATAATTTTTCTCAAATTTCCGCGCTAAGAAGACGATGATAAAGAAACTTGATAGTTCTGCATATCTTTCTTCAATGCTGCGGCTCCTTTTTTGAGAGAAACGTCTGTATTTAGTCGTGCTCATGTTTTTCCCTCTATATAATTTTGCAGATCAGACAAATTTTCAAGACGAACGAAGTAGCATGTGTCCTCAAATTGTGGAGGCAACATCATTATACTTGGCTACCTACACGAATTGAGATACCCAAAGAACTGGGAGAGAAATTGGATAATGAGCATCTCAATAAATTGGACGTACGTTAACAATTAGTTTATGTCGTTTTGTTTGACTGCATATAGTTATCGCTTACAATCTGTTACAATACAGTAATTTATTAGAAATATATATCGTCAATAAGTACCTTCAATTTTGCAACCTTGATTGTTAAAGATAAAATTAAGATTATTTATTGATTTTAATCTAACACGCACATTTCTTACATATATATATATATTTTTAAATATACATATAGTATTTTTTTCGCGATACATAGATATGCATGAATAATTATACCCACAGTTATGAATAGATGATTAACAGTACGTTCGAATTCATGTATTTTCAGATTAACACGTCTCTCGTTGCTGCATACGAATATATGCAGAAATATGCGGTGGGCTTAGAGCAGGTAGTTTGGGATCAAAAGGATTATCATCCTCGCAATCAGTCGTATCATCAGAAATTCGTGGAAGTCGAATGTAAACTTCAAGCGGTAAGTTCAGTTTCGGGATTATCTCAAATCCGTTATCTTTTTAAATAATTATGCTGAGCCATGAGCATTCGATTTGTGTAACCTTTTCTCGGTATAAAAAAAAAAGGAACTGCTGTACGCGACTTTCACAATAACATCGGCACAATTGGCCTGAATCATTTTGTCTTCGGTTGCTGCAAGTACAATAAAAGACGTTTTGCCAAGTTTTACGATCATTTTACGTAAAGGTTGAGACGTTAAAGATCGTCCGCTAACTGCCATTTTATTGACCATTCTGGCGAATAACTTGGGCGTGCTCCAAGTAATTCCTATTGGAGTTTCCTGCGTTTCTTTAGTTTTTTATGTGTATCGTCGATTTCGAAAATACAGATTTTGAAAGATTGCAGAAATCAGTCATCGTTTATTGAAAATCATTAACAACGTTTATTTCGATCCTCGTATTTACAAGATATGTTATTTTCGTGACCATTAATTTTAAATTCTCGCAATTAAATTTATATATACTATAAAATTAGAGTAACTTTACATAGATGTTAAAAACTACAATATGTTTTAATGTCGTCAGTTTTTATTCAAAACTTTTATCGTAATATATTATCCAATTATGAGTGGTTTTAATGTTCTGATGCTTCTCTTTTCTCAGGTTCTGTGTATGATCCAAGTTGCTATAGAAGAACGTTGTGTAACGCGACGGCCGGATGTCACTAGAGATATTATGCCACCTGATTTCCGAAATACGACAGACATGACGTCCCGTGGCCTGCGTGACTGGCTAATTTTCCGTGATTACATGAATGGTCTCGAGTATGTGATACAAGTATTTTCACATCTCTGCCTACGCCTGTAATCTACACAATTCTGAAGATCCATATGGTAAAAGCCGAAGAAGGGCTACCAGACGACGCTTTCATCTTACAAAATTAACTGATGACTCCATTTTCCTGAAGAGGTGTAGGGAAGAAGATAGAAGAGACAGAAGGATTATCTTCTGATTATTATTTAAACCATTTTAATGAAATGTCTCTGTACAACGAGGATCGGGCTATTTGTTGGTATCGACAATACCAACTAATATTGTCGAACGGACTGATATACCGCATCACAGTATCTGCATTGAGCTTCTATAATAATTTTGAAATAGAAGTGCCATCAATGTTTTCGACACCTTATATTTATCACTCTCTTTGACACTCTTTAATGGTTTTCAAACAGTTTTTAAATAATATTTTTTAATATAAAGAATAAGATTTGTGACGATCATATTACCGCGTAATGATTGTTACACAAAGTATAAAAACACACAAAAAAAACAAGATTGAAACAATCTTTCAATTGTTTCAATCGATGAAAGTTACATACTTCACACACAATCTTACATAATAATTTATTGACTACTTATATATACGTTTACGTATAATATAATTATATTATATGTAACACGTTATATATAATATTAGTATATCCATATTTATTCAGATTATTTATTTTATTTTTATAAAGATTTTACACTCCGATTAATTGTATTTAAAGTATCTAGTTGAGCTTAAAAGTGCCTAGTGTATATGAAAGAGAGAAGGCTATATCACAATTAAGACTTCGTACCTACGTGTGATTACTTTGCTTGCGTGTACGAAGTTTTATTATTAACGCAACACTAATAAACTGCCGCAGTAATATCACGAGTTAAATTGACTAACAATTTAATGATTATTGATGCTGTTTCCGCATCTTATATCGATCTTAATAATGTTGAATAACCTATTAAAAACAGTAAATAATAAATTTTTCATTACGATTTACTGCGATAGTTTATTAGTGTTGTGTTTCAGGACTGAAAAAAATTTCGGCGCGCAATCAAAAAATTACATATGTAATATATAAATTCACACGCAATTATTTAAAAGCACCCATGATCCAGTTTAGACCGCTGTGGCATTAATTGTCTCATTCGGTTAAAAATTTAACGGTCCAATAAGAATTGATTACTGTTAATTGCAAAAGTTTTATAAAATATTTTTAATTTTACAACCAAAAAATGTATAGTATATTTTTTAGGGCATTGATAGTATAATCGATAATTTATAATAAAATACACACTTTTGACGTGTAAAGTAAAAAATTAGATATATATATTTTTATATAACTGTGAAGTTAAATGTAGTGTAGACAAGTATTTTAAAGTACATAAGAGTATAATATAGTTGTTGCTTTTTAATGTTTCTGTTTCTTGCATAATCATTCGATAAAATTCATGTAAGTGTCCGAACTTCTATGTGCGCTAATAAAATATAACGTACAAAGAATAATTAAAATTTTATAAAAAATTTGTAATAATTATTTACCTGTTCACGTACGTCTTCGTCAGGATAACAATTGGACAATTTGTAAAGAATTGCTACCGTCTCATTTATCTGAAATTATTTCATCGAATAAATGTATGCCATAAGTGTATAAAAAAGGTATCGAGATATTATATTTTTCATGGTAAAAAACTAATACAAAGTAAATGCAATTAGCCAAGTATTTCGCAACGCAAGACGCATAAGATAAACAAAGTAACTAAAATTGTTAACTACGGATTATAGCGAAGAAAAATCTTGGCAAGCACGCGTCGTATTAAAATGCAATATTCTAGGACTAATTTGTTTTTATAGTAGGTAATTAAGGTAATTATGCATTATAACGGACCACCCTCCGATGACCTTGACCTTGACATATGTTGTCAAGGTCATGATCCCTAGTGACCTTGAACAAATTTTAGCCGTCGCTCGTCTTTCGTTGAAAAGTTATTAACAATCATAGTTTTAACGTATGCTATCATGTAGGATATGAAGTACTATTCTACACCTTTTCCTGTTCAGAAACGTTAAACTTTCCACGCGAAGTAACTTTCACCCCCTCCCCACCCCCCTGCACAGGAGCACACGACTTCTACGATTGTACTGTTGCTATGATAGTACTGTCGGGGCAGACTTCTGTCGACGGTGTAGGTGCAGGGAGGGGGGTCGAAAGCAACCACCTTGCACCCGCCCGCCCGCCCGCCCGAACTTGATATTTTACACATACGCGCACGCACGCACGCACGCGCGCATACACACACACACACACACACACACACACACACACACGGGCGGGTGCAAGGAGGTGGCCTTCGGCCACCCCCCCGCACCCACACCGTCACAGAGGTCTGCCCCGACAGTACTATCATAACAACAGTACAATCGTAGAAGTCGTGTGCTCCTGTGCAGGGGGGAGGGTGAAAGTTACTTCGTGTGGAAGGTCAAAACCTATGTAGAATAGTATTTAATACTGTATATATAGCAGAAATAAGACATTATTTTTGAAACTTTTTTTGTTAATATCTTTTTAACGAAGGGCGAGCGACGGCTAAAACCTGTTGGAGGTTACTCAGGGTCATGTCCTTGACAACATATATCAAGATCAAGGTAATCGAAGGGTGGTCCGTTATAATGCATAATTACCGTAATTATTTATAAAATGAATTAATAAAAATGTCATTATATATAAATATGCAATGAAATTCACGGCCCGATTTATATGATGAAGTACTACCATTTTCTATGATTTTAATGAGTGTGTGAAGTTGGCACCTCATCTTTTGGCACCGCAAGTTTTCACACAAGTACCATTGGCACCCGCAATAGTACTATAGTTCCTGATAGGTTTTAGGACCAGTACCGCTGATTTACCTAAAAAAAATAGCACTTGTAAATTTGAGGTGCTAACTTCCCATGGCACCGCAAGATTCGAGAAAGTCGATTTTTTTACGGAATTTTACAGTACTTGAAGAGTACTAGAGTTCCTGATAGAATATAACAATAGTACCGGCCAGTAAATATTTAAAAAAAATTTTAAAAAAGGAGCTAGCATCACAAGTTTTAAAAAAATTCATTTTCTTTGCCCTATTTTTTAGTACTCGAAGAGTACTATAGTTCTTGATAAGTTTTAGTAACACTACCGACCATTTTAATATATATAAACGATCTTTTAATCTGAGAGTTGGCACCGCACGTCAAGAGTAGAGTACCTCTAAACGGCCAGTACTGGCCGACTTTTCGGCTTTTTCCGACAGTACTACGAGAGTACCGAAGAAATATGCAGGTGTCGACCCGAGTACTCCTCGTTTAATACGTTTAAATAATTTTTTAAGTTTTTCGCTAGCACCGCACGTCAAGAGTAAAGTACCCCTAAACGGCCAGTACTGGCCGACTTTTCGGCTTTTTCGACAGTACTACGAGAGTACCGAAGAAATATGCAGGTTTTGACGCAAGTACACATATTTTATTGTGATTTCACATATTCAAGGTCTACCCAGACAGTACACCATATTTAGAGAAAATTTACAAAATAGTAAAATTTATTGGTAATTATGTAATAAATAGGATTGCCATAATGTAGTCACTAATCATCGGCATCTTAACGAACAACACAATATTAAAGCTTATTTATTCGCATTACTAAAAAAGATTGATTCTTGTAAAATTTTGTCTATATTCGAATTGTTAAATTTCCGTTAATATTTTAATAATTTGTTAACATTGAGAATGACCCGATCGGTGTCGAAACGTTTATTGTTTATATAATTTAAATATATTTTCTTTATTTTCTCTTTTTAATTGTATAATATTTTTATTTCGGCTCGTTAATCATTTAATATTTATTTATTATTGTCGAGTCTTCTTCTACTGCTTTTTGTTTTCAAATAAAGTTTATATAAAATATTAATAAAATATTTATATAGTATTTCAAAAAATGTATATTTATAAGTAGTAATGAATACTAATTATAAAACAAATTATAGTTAAAAATAAGAGAAAAGAGCCAAATAGTTTTCTTAAAAATTATAAATATAATTAATTCAAATCGCAATACATTAAAATCGAAAAGAATAAAATTCGCAAGTAAAATTCGCAGAGTAAAATTAGTAAGTAAAATTCGCAAACGTTTCGACACCAATCGGGTCATTTTCAATGTTAAATTTAAAACTTAAGTGTAACAGAGTTAAATGAACGAATAACAATAATAAAATTAAATATGTATAATTATAATAAAAATTAACGAGTAAAAAACTAATTATAAATATTTTATGCTGTCGCGGTAATTCTTTTGCTTGAATTATTTTCGATTTAATACAAACATTTTCATTAAATATAACTAAAGCACACTTTTTTAGTTTTACAGCACAGTTTTGGCCTTCCTGATGATTTTAATGCAGGTATATGATCCAAATCTTCTATTGTCTCTAATGCATGACATAAATATTTTGATTATGGTTGAATATAAATGTATTAATATTTAAATACATTTTCATTAACCCTTCATGTTCACACTTCAAAAAATTATAGTCTATAATTTAATTTTTTGCATGTTTTGCGAGCATAAAGTAAATTTTAAGAGTATTAGACTAAAATAAAAATTGAAAAATATTATAAATTCAAAAAGTTACATTTTATTTTAAAAAATATAACTTTTTGAATTTATATTTTTCAATTTTTGTTTTAGCCTAATACTCTTAAAATTTATTTTATGCTCATTCCATTTTGACCTATAGTGACCATGAAAGGTTAAACTATGTAGAATTTATATTTATTTATGTTATAAAACGATTTCAAAATTTTACAATTAGAACGTTTAGTTCGAAAATATATTATAATCAAGGTTACATTACAATATATTACATTATATAAAAATTTGTATAATACTTTTTAGATGAATTTAATAGATTATATTTTGAGACAATTGAATCCCAAACGTTAATCTCTTCGCACTACTGCAGTTTGATAATTATACCTACCAGTCGATGCACTTGGTGCGAACGTACATTAT